GTAAAATATATTATAATTTTTAATAAATTATAAACATCTCAGACTAATTTCTCTTTTGTTTTTCATTTAGATAAACAACAATTATGATGTCTTTCTCAGGCCGTAAACATTTAATTCCTATACAAGTCATTTATTTCTTCTTATTTTCAGGTAAGTCTGTTAATTATATAAGTGATTTTTAAATAAAAATTATTTTTATTTTAACACATCTTAACAAATACTACAATTTAAAGGGACATTTTTTCTTTCAAATCCACGAGCCAATATTTTATAATAATTTAAAGTAACCCCATAATTATTTAACAAGAGATCCAACCTAGTGGTTTGCAACACCCAAGCAAAGCCAGATTTGCATATAAGCTGCATCTTAGGGCCTCGTTTTATGAGGCCTACCTTTTTTTACTTATATTATTATTCTATGTAGAGAAGTGTTTATTAAATTTTACAGGTTAGGACCACAACATTTTCTTTATAAAATTCGAACAATTTATACCTTAAATTCGGGGGAATTTATTAATTTTATTTGAAATTTTATCTAGTAAGCTGATCTCTCTGAGAGATTTTGAAACNATATAAATATTTTCTGAAATATTTTAAAGTTTTTATTGTATATTTTAATTATTTTAATAGTAAATTATTGTAGTAATTAATAGAAATAGATGCAAAGCGGTATAGATTTGTGTAATGAAAGATTTGTTTACCAATTTAAAGCTTTTAAATGATGAGGATGATAAATAAGGAAGATGTAATTATCTGCATTTCTTGATAGAAAAATTCGAATAATTTCTAAAAATATAAGCTTGAATTTTCTGCTTTCTAACTCATTTGGATGACTAATCCTTAAAGGAAAGGAATTTCTTCAGTTTTAACAGGGTAGAGACGTGGAAAAAGGACAGAAGTAGGCGTTACTTCGACGATTTTCATGTCATTAATCAATCGTCACTTAGAAAATTTAGATTTATTTTTGGGTGTTGTAATTTGTTCTGGTTTTTCTTCTTTAAAACGAATCAACTAGTTACAAAACTTTAATTTATTTTTTATTATATTTTTTAAAAAAGAATTTGACAAGTTCTCACAATTTACTTCACATTTTGATTATGACAAATGACTTGTCACTAAGAAACTACACGTTAAAATCACTCATTAATTCTGATATATCTCGAGAAGTGATAGCCCCCTTTAACTAAATAACAACACCTTTAGATAGTTTGTACGAAAGGGTGTGTTAGTAGTGTATATGTGTATGTGTTAGTAGGACTCTCGCAGCTTGCTGGTTGGTGTGTTTGCAGTTTTTTTTTTTTCTAGTGTCACGTTTCGAGTCAGGTTTCTAGTCCACTTGTTGCTGAGAAAATTACTATAATAGGTAACGTGGGCGATATGTTGAAAAACCACGTTTCTTTGTTAGCATAGTGTTCTTTGTGAACGTTCCAGAGCTTGACTCCACATTCTTATTTGGCCCTCAGGGTTGTATTGAAGGTCGTCTAACGTGAACTGCTTCTCTCTATATATATATAAAAAATGAGTAAGGGTGGATTTAAAACAAGGTATGTTTTCTTTATTTCCGTTTAGTGTATCATTACGTTCGTTTTAAAGTTTTTTTTACCTTGAATAATTTCGTTTTTCATTGTAGTTTTTTTTAAATGAAAATTTACAGGTTGCGTGGGTCGTTATTTATTCGCCTCGTATCATCCCTATTTTTAAGAATTAATTTAAATTAGCGTGGAGATGTTTTTTTTAGTATTATTTATAAGAAATTTTAATGAATTAAATAATATTATATCGTTATCTGAATGCGATTTCTAATACTTTATAAGGAAATGTTCTTCGTGTGTTCACGTTGAAATTATTTATGATACTTCGTGTTTATGAGAAAAATTTTTATTTATGTCTACTCCGTGTTTAGAAAGAGAATTTAATTAATTTTGTTTACGAATTTTTATTTTTATTTTTATTTTTGTGTGTGGAAAATTTTCTTTTGTAACTTTTTTAATTTTGTGGGAAAATTTAAGCAGATGTTTTCATTTAAATTTTGTAGAAAAATATTATTAAATTATATAAAGAAAATTCAGTAAATAGTTTTTATATTATTCTACAAGTTTCAAAGTATATTAATTTATTTTAAAACACAATTATAAGTAGTATAATTGTTAAATAAACTCTGTGTTTTAAATCAATATTCTTTCATTTATAAACTTGTTTTTCCAAATATGAAAAGTGGACTTTAGTCTGTTTATGAATACTTCTATATAACACGCTTTATAACATTATCGCTTATATTAAATTAGATACATATTTCGATATAGAAGTGACCTAGCAGAATGTGTATATGAAGGCATTTCTTTCCTGTTTCGTCTCTTCCCTTTTCGCTTCCCTCCCTCATAAACCGGTTGATAAAGTTGTGTGACTGCAATGTCCAATGTTTCTTTCTTATGAAGCAACTATTATGTGAAAGGTATTGAAAACGAAAGTTAACTCGTTCGACTTGTTTGCCAATTTCAAAATTTTTGGGCAGGTGTTGTAATGGTTTAACTTAAGAACCAGGTAAGAGAAATAGCAAAATTTAATTATCTAACTGTTAAATTGGGTTTAGAAGTGTAAAATTGACGAAAAAATTAGATTAAATACAAAAAAATTAAGTAAATTCTCACGCGGTTTACCGTCGAAGTAGAGGGGTAAAGACTCTGTTTCACCTACATACAGGACCTGTTTCAGTTTATGTTGATTATAAACTGAACAGGATTATAAAATCGTATTTAAAATAAGCTATAAACTGGGAAGTATATGAATATTCAATAAGTATAATTATATAAACTGGATATTGTGGCTTTACTTATAAATATTCAAGCAGATGTACGGAAATACGGAAGAGAAAAAATAGGTCCTGTTTGGAAATAAANAGGCACGGTACCGAATATTGTTCCTGTTTGGCAGGTTTTTAACACGGAAAATCGCAGCCTTTCGATGAATGTTTTCCGTTTAGGCAGGTTCCGTTTCGAACAGGTTTTAATGTAATTAATATTTTTTTAAAATGGAAAATATAACTATTTAATGCTTATTATCAAGTCGTAAGCATTAATATTTACGATGATGCACTTTTAGATACAATACTAAGCATACGTATTGTCTTCCTCTTAAGTTTATGAAGCACTTCACAGCTACTGTTAGTGAGAACAGGGACATAAAATTAAGAAAATAAGAAGGAATACTTCATGCTTGATAGCTATAAGTGCTAGATTAGCCCTACCATTTGCGGTTAGTCTAAATTTAACCGTTAAATGACCCTTTGCTTGTTAGAATCGATCAGTATTATCTTGATCTATTGCTCTGGTTCGAGTTATGCTCACCCAATTATTTCTATTTATACTTAAAATAGGAGATTAATTTTAAGGATTTCTATAAACCTTAACTATAAGATAATGAGATATCTACAATTATATAAATTTTGGCTTTCTAGATAATAAAGATTTTATAAAATCACTCGCTCTGTAGGTATCATTTGTGTAGAGTATTGTTTCTTAACCTGGGGTGCGAGTGGTTTTTAATCTTTGCATGTTTAACATAAAATTTAAGGCTAAATCATCCTATTTAAATTTGATTCGAGTATACTGTGTACTCTCAGTGCCTACGATAAACTGAAAATGCTGTGATAAAAAAGCCAGGTGAAAATGCCACGGTGGCAAAGGTAGAAAGGGTAGCCTTTTCCATAACAAAAAGAAGTCGGTACATATATTTCAAGGGAATGCCAGACCATATTTTGCGATTCAAGAGGGTGCCATCACTAAAAAGATAAAGAAACACTGTTATAGAAATGGATCAGGTATACAAATCTTAATTTATTCCCAGAAACAGTAACATATTCAGTGCTATTTATTGGTGATAATGATAAGTAAATAGAATAAAAATGGGGGTGCGGAATGATTAATCGACTAGATCAATTGAAAATATCTATATTAGAGAATTGTTTCCTGCTTTTATAAATCTTATAAATTGATCCGGATATGATACTACCCATTAAATTATTAGAGGGGCTGTAAGAGACAAAATCGTTACCAAAATCGGTCAGACATAAAAGGAGATTTATCCTGTCAATAGGATAATATCTTTGACTCATACAATGATCTTTATATTAACTTTTATTTACGTTATCTTCTACTTTAACATCGCATTTATAACTCGAAGGCATTTTACAGAGGTCAGTGGCATGTTCCGGCTATTCTCCTTGATAAGAGATTAGATTAATAGAACAATCTGGAGAGGGACGTCAGGATTGAGGATGTTGGGGTTGGAACGAGGGGTTGAATACAATGAATTCTCATGAATCAAACATTCTAAAAATGCAATATTTTTAAATACAAATTCTTGATTTAATGTAAAATTTCTTAATGTTCAATTTTAATGTATTGCTTCACTAGTTTGCATAATCTATAAGTAATTATTGACTAGTATAAACACTAATTTTTATCAGGACCTAAGAGATAGTAGATAGGAGCCCTTAACATTCAGAACTGTAAGATCCACACCTTCTGAAATCCATAAAAATAAATAAATCACATAACAAACGAAATTTAAATTCATATTACTCCTATCATGTTTTATATGCAAACACCTAAATTTTGGGCCCCTTTGTCATTGGAACCCCTTTCAACTGGTACCCTATCTATACAGACCTCGTAGGGAGGGAGGAAGGATACCATTAAGATTTATCAAATATAATTTTTCACTTAAAAGACTAAATTTTAAGGCTCCTTTTCAATCCCAAGCATTCCAGATGGCCTCAATGGCACTCCCTTCATGTAGGCCTGTTTATCATAATCATTTAAAAATATATGTAGAGCAATAAAAAACAAATCGAGAATTAACAATTATGGTTTGTTCTCGTTATTATAGATAACGGTTGTTGCACTATATTAAATAGGGCAAAATGAAAATTAGGGTACAATAAATAATACCAAAATATATGGTCTTGAATACATTTAATTATATTAACTAAAACATAATAAAAAAGTAATGATTAATCACTATTTATTTTTATATTTCTTAATATATAAAAAAATTATATAATTAAATCCTTTATTTTGCTTTATACGGTTGAACCTCCATATAAAGACCACCTCCGACTCATTTTCATGATCTCATCAACGGCCGTTATTCAGAGGTTCGATTGTGTTCTAAACTTTATAAATTAATTCTTTTTATCTATATTGGTCTATTAAATCTGTATAAATGTGTAATATCATCCGCATACTTTTATAAATTTAGGCTATTGGCTGTTGAGAAATCCGTCGTAAAGCGAGCCATTTATTACACTCAAACTCTGTGTCGTTTATGGAGGTTACGTTCTCCAAAATAGTTTTAAACTGTACAATAAAATACTGAGATAACATGTAAACATACGGCATTTAAATACGGCATTTAATTTAATTATAATAGAAAATTTCTATCGTTTCTATAAAGTGAGAGTTGTAAAGCGAAAGGTCGTAAAACGGGAATTTACTATATAAAGTAATAAATTTATAATTTTAAGTGATTTTTTTCACTTTTTCCATTCCGTAAATACTAAGAGGACATTTTTCTGTATTCATTATGACTTCGACCAGGCCAGTAATAAAGGTGGAACTCGTCATATCCGACATAATGTAACAAGTGTTTAGAATTAAACACGATCTTTAAGTCAGTTAACCGAATAAATTAACTTACTCATGCATCGGTTAACTCAATTTTGGACCATTTAATCAGAAATATAAATGATATATTTATAATTAAAATGTGAAACATTAAAGTTATATATTTTTTGTTATAATATAGGTCTATTACACAAGTAATTTGAACTTTGCAATTGAGTTACGCCATAGACTTAGGTCAGTTTTGTCACCTTTGTAACTGAATATCAAACACTTACCTTTTCGTGAGATGCATAAATTGAATAAGTTTCAAGACTTGACCGACATTTCTTTAATAATAATAATATAATAATAATAATAAGGGAGCATAACTTAATGTTATTAGAAAAATTATTCTATTGATTTAAATTAGGTTTTATCAGTTAAAAATGATTTAAATTATAGACTTTTAAATTTATATTTTATAATAATTATTATAAGAAATTAAGGAAAGAGATAAGGAACTTATATACTTCCTACACTTTTTAAGCGGAAGGGTGTTGTCTTCACTCCACCCTTTACCCATCACGCAACTTGTTAAAAGGGTGAAGAAGTTCAACGACTTCATAGATTAAAACATTAAAACAAAATAAAAAAAAACTTGAAATTTAAATAATATTTTGTTGAATCTTCTAACCAAATTTACGAAAAATAGCTTATTTTAATTGTATAGAAATTTAGAACATAACACATAAAATATATAACAAGAGAGGGGTAGAAGGGAAAGGGTGAGAAGAGTGTGTAAAGAAGGGAAGACAGACGTAGCAATTTGAAAAAGTGCATTTAATAAGGACTCATCACAGGGGCCATTTAATAAAGGCCCTTACTTAATTAATGGTTAATTATCTGTATTGAATCACAGTTTATAGTAGGCCTTCCTTGGTTTAGGCTCTTAATTACTTATTTGTGAATTACTGTACTAGTTTTTCTAATATATATCTCATTACTTATTATAAATGATTTACTTTATTAGAGGGCAAAGTTTTATTTTTTGGTGTATTATTAATGTTTGTTCTTTATAAATATTATAATTCTTGCTAATTTTATATGAATTATGTATCATCAATCAAAAATATGCATAAACAGTAAAGCAAATTTATATCGAAATATTTTTGAAATTCATTAAATTAATGTAAAATATATTATAATTTTTAATAAATTATAAACATCTCAGACTAATTTCTCTTTTGTTTTTCATTTAGATAAACAACAATTATGATGTCTTTCTCAGGCCGTAAACATTTAATTCCTATACAAGTCATTTATTTCTTCTTATTTTCAGGTAAGTCTGTTAATTATATAAGTGATTTTTAAATAAAAATTATTTTTATTTTAACACATCTTAACAAATACTACAATTTAAAGGGACATTTTTTCTTTCAAATCCACGAGCCAATATTTTATAATAATTTAAAGTAACCCCATAATTATTTAACAAGAGATCCAACCTAGTGGTTTGCAACACCCAAGCAAAGCCAGATTTGCATATAAGCTGCATCTTAGGGCCTCGTTTTATGAGGCCTACCTTTTTTTACTTATATTATTATTCTATGTAGAGAAGTGTTTATTAAATGTTACAGGTTAGGACCACAACATTTTCTTTATAAAATTCGAACAATTTATACCTTAAATTCGGGGGAATTTATTAATTTTATTTGAAATTTTATCTAGTAAGCTGATCTCTCTGAGAGATTTTGAAACTGAAATTTGAGCTGAAATGTTTTATCCTTTTTTACCTTTAGAACAACTGATTTTTGTACTTTAATATCTATTGTTTATCGTTTAATCAGAGAAGATACTTCACAATTAATGTAATTAATATCCAAAACGTATTGTTTTGATTTAAAAATGAAATATTTTTTATTTTGATTTACGTGTATTTATTACGCAAAAGAACATATTTATACAAGTAAATGTCATTTTTTTAAGTCTTCTGCCTCTTGATAAACTTTGATAAACACGAATCCATGAATGAATGTAATCATTGTTTGATTCACGGATCTATGAATGATTAAATAAGTTACTAGAAAAAGATAAAAATAAAACCTTTCTTTAAAATACACGAAAACATGCCTCAAGGATATATACTGTTTACATTGTTATAAAATAATAAATTGGCACAAAATACATTTTATAAATATAGGACACAATAGAGATAATATGTTTAATACAAATACATTTTCTCTTTCAGGTTTGGCATGTCTTACTCCTTTTCTAAGTCCTCATACCAGAGATCTTGGATTAACGTATAGAGAAACCATTGTAGTCAACACCGCAGCAGCATTTATTAGTATTTTTGGACCCCTCATCGCCGGAATAATTGCAGACAGACACGCTAAATATAAAACCTTTATCGTTTTATCATTGTTTCTATCAGCTGCTAGTTACACGGGTTTACTTTTCATCCCTCGAGTGTTGCGATTCACTAGACAACCCATCATTGAATTCGATTGCCCAGATGCTGTTAGATTGGAGAAATGTAGCAGTTGGTCAAGTTGTACCGATGCAGGAATCATTACTGATAACATGACGACATTTACACTATCCGGATGCCAGTATCAGTGCCGTAACACTTTCAACACCACGTATCCTCTACACGTGTGCTTTCAGGGTAGCAAAGAAACTCTGTGCACAGTTTACGATCAGCAAACTGAAAAACAAGTAAAGTTCCAATCACGTTTTGTTCCATGGATGTTTGAAGAGCAGCAAAGTATCCAGAAATCTGTTTTTCTTTCAGCGACACCAGAGATGCCCGATCATATAGGTGTTTGCAACTTTCGACCTGTGGCACCCATAATTTTCAACGAGAAAGTTCATCAAGACATACATTGCCGACCGATGCCAGAACATTGTTCCATTAAGTGTTTCCTTAAATTAACATACAAGAACCACTCGTTGGATCCCGCACCTTGTGAAGATGTATTAGGTGACTCTACTTTGACCTTCTGGGTGTACTTAGGTGTAAGATCTTTTGCTGACTTATGCATCATGACTGTCATCTGCTTACTAGATGCAGTAACCATCTCCAGTATTAACGATTTTTATGGATTATATGGAAGAATGCACGTTTGGGCCGCTTTGGGTTTAGCCATATTTTCACCCGTTGCCGGTGTCCTTATCGATTATTACAGTGGAATTGCTGGAAAGCCAGATTACTCTCCAGCGATCTTTATTTTTGATGGTCTTGCTCTTATTACTTGTGCATTAATTATCGCTTTACCTATCGAAGCAGGAACTAATGCAAGATATGTTGTATCACCAGAAAGAAGCAGAAAGAAGTTAAAATTCTGCACATGGGAAATGTCCTTTCTTATTTTCTTAGTATTGATATTGGGTACTCAATGGGGTTTCATGGAAACTTTTCTTCTGTGGTTCTACGTAGATGAAGTTGGCTGCTCCAAACTGATATTGGGATTGACAGTTACTGTTGGGTTTGCTGGAAGTATACCATTTTTGATAATCTCTAAGAATATGGTGAGAAATATTGGAAGAGCCCATCTCATTGTCTTTGCCTTTCTTTTCTACGGAATACGCTTTGCTGGGATATCTTATATAATATATCCTTGGTGGTCTTTGCCTTTTGAAGCTATGGAAACATTTACAATAAGTGTCGCTTGGATTGGTATCGTTGCTTATGGACAGAGCTTGATATCCAGAGGTGCCCGTCTTAAAGTGCAGTACCTGTTTAACCTATTGCACTTCTGCGCTGGTAAGTTTAATGAAAATTTTAATCATTATTTATATTTATTANAAATTATAAATAAATATTTTATAAATTAAATGTTAAATTGTGTAAAAAAAATTCAGAAAATAAAGATGTTTTATCTGTTTTATATTTGAAACAGGTAATTTGTCATTTTTTTTTCGGGTGTCAGTTTGTCTGTCAGTTGTTATTCTTTGATTATAACTATGTGGAGTCTCTTATATCATTTATTACTTTTAATTAGTAAATAAGAGAAATATTTTAGCACATATTTTAATTTAGTTATTAGTCCTTCACACTCTTTCTTTAGCCTAGACCCTGGGTAGACTCTACACTGTCTACACCCTAATTATAAAATTAGCTTCATTTGAAAGCTGCAAACATTTCCCATTTTGCAATTTGGTTAAAAGGAATTTACTACTATTAAAATGGCATGAATACGCGTGAAAAAATATACATAAAATCTCGCTTTTATGGTTCTTGGACTCATTGTACTGTAATTTTCCATAAGCTCGATGTGTTATATCGACGTTCTGTTTAAATTTCAATTACAATACCACTTAGGAAATGTTTACCAAAACCTATTGAGTGAGAAAATTTATACCAGTCGTAAAATTCAGGTCTATTGTGCTAAAAAAAAGGTTAAAGGTCAATCATATCTAGAGAACGTGACACTTACACCAACCTTTCTCTAAAAATTATAAACTTATGTAAATAAACTCAATTAAACAAATAAAAACAGTTTATTTTACTTTCCTATTATATTTTTGACATAAAAGACTAAATTTTAGGTCCTCACTTATCATCCAAGCACCCTCGAAACAAATGAACCTGATCATTCTAACACGTAGAATGTTTAATTAATTAATTTTTCTTATTAATTATTAATAGTAGGGGGTAAAAATACTAAATTAATTTATTTCTAATTAATTATTATTAATATTTATGAAACTTTACAAATTAATTAACTAGTAAACAGTAATGAATAAATATTAAAAAAAAATATAACGTATTTTAATTGTTATCTCTTTAATTATTTGATTGAGTGAAATATAATGAAAAAGTTAAATCATTTTAATTGTGATTCAAGCGGAAATTGTTCAGCAAAAAAACAATAAAATAAGAAAAATGTATACAATTATGTTCTGTTTATTAATTTGATCTCAAGGTTGAAACATTTAAACCAAACAATAGAAAACATAATTGATATATAAATTACAGGCATTAAGTTAAAATTATATTTTTTAGAATTAATTTTTTTTTACTTTAACCTTCGTCAAGTTACGATTTATTTTGTTTTTTTTCCCTTGTAATTGATGTAATAAATAACAGATTTTTCGTGTTTAACTACTGCACGCGCTGGTGTTTTTTCTTTACTTCTACTCGCAACAGGCGAATTATTAATTTCCAATGTACTAATTTACTAATTTTGTTGTACAAATTTTCATTTACTACTCTATATTATTATGTAAATAAAAAGGTAGATGCCAAGGTTTCGTGTGTAAATTCTCTTATGTAACAATTCGTGAAGTCTACTTTTAAATTACAATAGCCTTAAACATACAGGAAATACACATGAAAGACGTGAAGAATATGAATTTTTCAATTTATTTTCAGGTAAAGGAAAACCTGTGTAAACCGGTCAGGCACGGTACCGAATATTGTTCCTGTTTGGCAGGTTTTTAACACGGAAAATCGCAGCCTTTCGATGAATGTTTTCCGTTTAGGCAGGTTCCGTTTCGAACAGGTTTTAATGTAATTAATATTTTTTTAAAATGGAAAATATAACTATTTAATGCTTATTATCAAGTCGTAAGCATTAATATTTACGATGATGCACTTTTAGATACAATACTAAGCATACGTATTGTCTTCCTCTTAAGTTTATGAAGCACTTCACAGCTACTGTTAGTGAGAACAGGGACATAAAATTAAGAAAATAAGAAGGAATACTTCATGCTTGATAGCTATAAGTGCTAGATTAGCCCTACCATTTGCGGTTAGTCTAAATTTAACCGTTAAATGACCCTTTGCTTGTTAGAATCGATCAGTATTATCTTGATCTATTGCTCTGGTTCGAGTTATGCTCACCCAATTATTTCTATTTATACTTAAAATAGGAGATTAATTTTAAGGATTTCTATAAACCTTAACTATAAGATAATGAGATATCTACAATTATATAAATTTTGGCTTTCTAGATAATAAAGATTTTATAAAATCACTCGCTCTGTAGGTATCATTTGTGTAGAGTATTGTTTCTTAACCTGGGGTGCGAGTGGTTTTTAATCTTTGCATGTTTAACATAAAATTTAAGGCTAAATCATCCTATTTAAATTTGATTCGAGTATACTGTGTACTCTCAGTGCCTACGATAAACTGAAAATGCTGTGATAAAAAAGCCAGGTGAAAATGCCACGGTGGCAAAGGTAGAAAGGGTAGCCTTTTCCATAACAAAAAGAAGTCGGTACATATATTTCAAGGGAATGCCAGACCATATTTTGCGATTCAAGAGGGTGCCATCACTAAAAAGATAAAGAAACACTGTTATAGAAATGGATCAGGTATACAAATCTTAATTTATTCCCAGAAACAGTAACATATTCAGTGCTATTTATTGGTGATAATGATAAGTAAATAGAATAAAAATGGGGNAAATACATTTTCTCTTTCAGGTTTGGCATGTCTTACTCCTTTTCTAAGTCCTCATACCAGAGATCTTGGATTAACGTATAGAGAAACCATTGTAGTCAACACCGCAGCAGCATTTATTAGTATTTTTGGACCCCTCATCGCCGGAATAATTGCAGACAGACACGCTAAATATAAAACCTTTATCGTTTTATCATTGTTTCTATCAGCTGCTAGTTACACGGGTTTACTTTTCATCCCTCGAGTGTTGCGATTCACTAGACAACCCATCATTGAATTCGATTGCCCAGATGCTGTTAGATTGGAGAAATGTAGCAGTTGGTCAAGTTGTACCGATGCAGGAATCATTACTGATAACATGACGACATTTACACTATCCGGATGCCAGTATCAGTGCCGTAACACTTTCAACACCACGTATCCTCTACACGTGTGCTTTCAGGGTAGCAAAGAAACTCTGTGCACAGTTTACGATCAGCAAACTGAAAAACAAGTAAAGTTCCAATCACGTTTTGTTCCATGGATGTTTGAAGAGCAACAAAGTATCCAGAAATCTGTTTTTCTTTCAGCGACACCAGAGATGCCCGATCATATAGGTGTTTGCAACTTTCGACCTGTGGCACCCATAATTTTCAACGAGAAAGTTCATCAAGACATACATTGCCGACCGATGCCAGAACATTGTTCCATTAAGTGTTTCCTTAAATTAACATACAAGAACCACTCGTTGGATCCCGCACCTTGTGAAGATGTATTAGGTGACTCTACTTTGACCTTCTGGGTGTACTTAGGTGTAAGATCTTTTGCTGACTTATGCATCATGACTGTCATCTGCTTACTAGATGCAGTAACCATCTCCAGTATTAACGATTTTTATGGATTATATGGAAGAATGCACGTTTGGGCCGCTTTGGGTTTAGCCATATTTTCACCCGTTGCCGGTGTCCTTATCGATTATTACAGTGGAATTGCTGGAAAGCCAGATTACTCTCCAGCGATCTTTATTTTTGATGGTCTTGCTCTTATTACTTGTGCATTAATTATCGCTTTACCTATCGAAGCAGGAACTAATGCAAGATATGTTGTATCACCAGAAAGAAGCAGAAAGAAGTTAAAATTCTGCACATGGGAAATGTCCTTTCTTATTTTCTTAGTATTGATATTGGGTACTCAATGGGGTTTCATGGAAACTTTTCTTCTGTGGTTCTACGTAGATGAAGTTGGCTGCTCCAAACTGATATTGGGATTGACAGTTACTGTTGGGTTTGCTGGAAGTATACCATTTTTGATAATCTCTAAGAATATGGTGAGAAATATTGGAAGAGCCCATCTCATTGTCTTTGCCTTTCTTTTCTACGGAATACGCTTTGCTGGGATATCTTATATAATATATCCTTGGTGGTCTTTGCCTTTTGAAGCTATGGAAACATTTACAATAAGTGTCGCTTGGATTGGTATCGTTGCTTATGGACAGAGCTTGATATCCAGAGGTGCCCGTCTTAAAGTGCAGTACCTGTTTAACCTATTGCACTTCTGCGCTGGTAAGTTTAATGAAAATTTTAATCATTATTTATATTTATTAAATTATTAAATAATTTGACCCATTCATTTTAAAATTTTATAAACATGTATAATTTCAATTAAAATTAATTAAATTTTTGAACTTATCTAAATGAGTAATTTTAGTAAATGGATAAAAGTTCATTATATATTTGATTTACAATATAATTTGATCTTCAGTAGACCTTTTTACAATGACAGCCTCTATAGCTCTTTTGGCGCTGCAATAAACAATTTGCCTCTGTATAGAAGATACCCATGCTACACGGAGGCTTTAGGAATGCCTGTGATACTACTCATCATTGTTTCCATTGCAAATGTGTAAAATCTATGAACAATAATCCAATATTATATTGTCTGATACCATTGCGGCTTAAATTCGTTCATTCTCTGACACCATTCTGGTCAGATTCGGTCGTTATTGGCGAAATTAAGGATGAATATACAGTGTTAATGTACATGAAACATTTGCACACTTTAAACGAGCCCTATTATTTCAAAGCGATCAAAATGACGCCTCAAATAGTCGGTCGATCGCGATCGACTTGTTGGCATGACCTGCATCCAACATTATCCTGGTCAATAATGACTAACAATATACCTTCAGGCATCACTATAAAACATACTCCTAACAGTTTGTTTACGTAATCCAAATTATTATTTAAATTTATGTAGATTTTATTTTTATAACACTTATCTTCCTGTGTTCCTATCTAATTGTTTTATATCGTCATCTGGTGGTAATTATTATAATTATTTAAGTAATTATTTATTAATTAATACTATAAAACATTATTTTATATTGAAAATTTAATACGTATTTTACAGGTCGTGGTTTGGGTACGATGATAGGAGGATTTTTAAGCGAAGTATTTGGTACTCGACAAACATTCCGTGGTTTTGCTGTCGTTTCTACTATAATCGGTTTACTTTATTTGGTGATTTATCATACTTGTTTAAAGAGTTGTAGACGAAATAAGAGACCAACCAGTCCTGGTGAGTTACTCATACCACAGGTAAATGTTAACTATTACCCTTACAAATTTTAGCTAATTGATTATCGTTTTGTAGTGTTGTATCTATTTTATCAACATTTAGTATTACTATTTATGCAACTTTCCTGACATTTTTCTTTGATATAATACCGTGTGAAATTTCAGCAGATGCGGAAAACACTTCCGTAAAAGAATAGTACTAAAATTCACCGCTATGGCAGTTTTGGCGCTGAAAAGAACAAACATTTTATTTGTACAAGACCCTCATGTGAAACAGAAACTTTAGCTCAATGTGTCGTCATTTTCGAGGTGTAAAATCTGAAGACAATGAACAGTTTGTTCAATGGCCGTACTTTATGTATGGTGTTTCTCACATGCAGTATGATAGTATCTTGCAATGCTGCCAAATTTGTAACGTGTTCTCGATAAATTACACTTTTGTAAGTGTTCACATTGCCAACATTTTACGGATTTTTATTGAATGCAGAGACAAAAGTGCCATAGTGTTGAGTTATGGTATTATTTTGGTTTTAACGGTGTTTTTCGCATGTTTCAGTGTCAAATTTAGGTGCACTGGGCTGCTGAATTATTCTGTAAAATCTTTAGAGAAGATTTAAGCAGTTTAGAGAAGTTTTTAAAGGCAAAATTAAAAATTTTTAATGTAAAAAAACAAATAATTTTACAATCAAAAGCTTTACATCGCTAATAAAACATTACTTATAAAGAATACTTTTTTATGTTTTCAGTACGAATGAATGGATCTTGGTATCCTCTAGGAGAAACAAGACCAAACGGTGATGCTGGCGGCCATCTTTTTAACTCCGATCACGAAGATTCCGATATAGGAGTCGATGATGATGTACCTAAATAGAGGGACAAAATACAAGTTGGGTTGTGATATATCTGCATAAGTGAAGATGTCACAAATCGCTTCAGAATGCATAAAACTGTTTACTTTATTTTTCTTTTTCTTTATAAACTGCGGTAATTCGTTTTAAGAATAAGTGACCTTTTTTTGTATTTAGAAAGTTATATCTTATTCTTTTAGATGAATAGTTAATTGTTATACACGTATGTTATTACGAAGCCATTGAGTGTGGATAAATCCCTTATTTTCATTTGCTGGCATCGCGTAATATTCAATTTTTTTTTTTACTGTAACAAGAGTACAAGAAACAATTGATTTATGCTGTTAATCATTACAGATGTGTTCATTGTTTGTGCTAGATACTATACGAAATCATTTTTTGAAATTATTATGTTATTATTTCATCGATTTTTTCACATCATCATCAAATTTTTCACACATATTTTATAAGCAAATAAAATANTAATAAAAAAAAATATAACGTATTTTAATTGTTATCTCTTTAATTATTTGATTGAGTGAAATATAATGAAAAAGTTAAATCATTTTAATTGTGATTCAAGCGGAAATTGTTCAGCAAAAAAACAATAAAATAAGAAAAATGTATACAATTATGTTCTGTTTATTAATTTGATCTCAAGGTTGAAACATTTAAACCAAACAATAGAAAACATAATTGATATATAAATTACAGGCATTAAGTTAAAATTATATTTTTTAGAATTAATTTTTTTTTACTTTAACCTTCGTCAAGTTACGATTTATTTTGTTTTTTTTCCCTTGTAATTGATGTAATAAATAACAGATTTTTCGTGTTTAACTACTGCACGCGCTGGTGTTTTTTCTTTACTTCTACTCGCAACAGGCGAATTATTAATTTCCAATGTACTAATTTACTAATTTTGTTGTACAAATTTTCATTTACTACTCTATATTATTATGTAAATAAAAAGGTAGATGCCAAGGTTTCGTGTGTAAATTCTCTTATGTAACAATTCGTGAAGTCTACTTTTAAATTACAATAGCCTTAAACATACAGGAAATACACATGAAAGACGTGAAGAATATGAATTTTTCAATTTATTTTCAGGTAAAGGAAAACCTGTGTAAACCGGTCAGGCACGGTACCGAATATTGTTCCTGTTTGGCAGGTTTTTAACACGGAAAATCGCAGCCTTTCGATGAATGTTTTCCGTTTAGGCAGGTTCCGTTTCGAACAGGTTTTAATGTAATTAATATTTTTTTAAAATGGAAAATATAACTATTTAATGCTTATTATCAAGTCGTAAGCATTAATATTTACGATGATGCACTTTTAGATACAATACTAAGCATACGTATTGTCTTTCTCTTAACTTTATGAAGCACTTCACAGCTACTGTTAGTGAGAACAGGGACATAAAATTAAGAAAATAAGAAGGAATACTTCATGCTTGATAGCTATAAGTGCTAGATTAGCCCTACCATTTGCGGTTAGTCTAAATTTAACCGTTAAATGACCCTTTGCTTGTTAGAATCGATCAGTATTATCTTGATCTATTGCTCTGGTTCGAGTTATGCTCACCCAATTATTTCTATTTATACTTAAAATAGGAGATTAATTTTAAGGATTTCTATAAACCTTAACTATAAGATAATGAGATATCTACAATTATATAAATTTTGGCTTTCTAGATAATAAAGATTTTATAAAATCACTCGCTCTGTAGGTATCATTTGTGTAGAGTATTGTTTCTTAACCTGGGGTGCGAGTGGTTTTTAATCTTTGCATGTTTAACATAAAATTTAAGGCTAAATCATCCTATTTAAATTTGATTTGAGTATACTGTGTACTCTCAGTGCCTACGATAAACTGAAAATGCTGTGATAAAAAAGCCAGGTGAAAATGCCACGGTGGCAAAGGTAGAAAGGGTAGCCTTTTCCATAACAAAAAGAAGTCGGTACATATATTTCAAGGGAATGCCAGACCATATTTTGCGATTCAAGAGGGTGCCATCACTAAAAAGATAAAGAAACACTGTTATAGAAATGGATCAGGTATACAAATCTTAATTTATTCCCAGAAACAGTAACATATTCAGTGCTATTTATTGGTGATAATGATAAGTAAATAGAATAAAAATGGGGGTGCGGAATGATTAATCGACTAGATCAATTGAAAATATCTATATTAGAGAATTGTTTCCTGCTTTTATAAATCTTATAAATTGATCCGGATATGATACTACCCATTAAATTATTAGAGGGGCTGTAAGAGACAAAATCGTTACCAAAATCGGTCAGACATAAAAGGAGATTTATCCTGTCAATAGGATAATATCTTTGACTCATACAATGATCTTTATATTAACTTTTATTTACGTTATCTTCTACTTTAACATCGCATTTATAACTCGAAGGCATTTTACAGAGGTCAGTGGCATGTTCCGGCTATTCTCCTTGATAAGAGATTAGATTAATAGAACAATCTGGAGAGGGACGTCAGGATTGAGGATGTTGGGGTTGGAACGAGGGGTTGAATACAATGAATTCTCATGAATCAAACATTCTAAAAATGCAATATTTTTAAATACAAATTCTTGATTTAATGTAAAATTTCTTAATGTTCAATTTTAATGTATTGCTTCACTAGTTTGCATAATCTATAAGTAATTATTGACTAGTATAAACACTAATTTTTATCAGGACCTAAGAGATAGTAGATAGGAGCCCTTAACATTCAGAACTGTAAGATCCACACCTTCTGAAATCCATAAAAATAAATAAATCACATAACAAACGAAATTTAAATTCATATTACTCCTATCATGTTTTATATGCAAACACCTAAATTTTGGGCCCCTTTGTCATTGGAACCCCTTTCAACTGGTACCCTATCTATACAGACCTCGTAGGGAGGGAGGAAGGATACCATTAAGATTTATCAAATATAATTTTTCACTTAAAAGACTAAATTTTAAGGCTCCTTTTCAATCCCAAGCATTCCAGATGGCCTCAATGGCACTCCCTTCATGTAGGCCTGTTTATCATAATCATTTAAAAATATATGTAGAGCAATAAAAAACAAATCGAGAATTAACAATTATGGTTTGTTCTCGTTATTATAGATAACGGTTGTTGCACTATATTAAATAGGGCAAAATGAAAATTAGGGTACAATAAATAATACCAAAATATATGGTCTTGAATACATTTAATTATATTAACTAAAACATAATAAAAAAGTAATGATTAATCACTATTTATTTTTATATTTCTTAATATATAAAAAAATTATATAATTAAATCCTTTATTTTGCTTTATACGGTTGAACCTCCATATAAAGACCACCTCCGACTCATTTTCATGATCTCATCAACGGCCGTTATTCAGAGGTTCGATTGTGTTCTAAACTTTATAAATTAATTCTTTTTATCTATATTGGTCTATTAAATCTGTATAAATGTGTAATATCATCCGCATACTTTTATAAATTTAGGCTATTGGCTGTTGAGAAATCCGTCGTAAAGCGAGCCATTTATTACACTCAAACTCTGTGTCGTTTATGGAGGTTACGTTCTCCAAAATAGTTTTAAACTGTACAATAAAATACTGAGATAACATGTAAACATACGGCATTTAAATACGGCATTTAATTTAATTATAATAGAAAATTTCTATCGTTTCTATAAAGTGAGAGTTGTAAAGCGAAAGGTCGTAAAACGGGAATTTACTATATAAAGTAATAAATTTATAATTTTAAGTGATTTTTTTCACTTTTTCCATTCCGTAAATACTAAGAGGACATTTTTCTGTATTCATTATGACTTCGACCAGGCCAGTAATAAAGGTGGAACTCGTCATATCCGACATAATGTAACAAGTGTTTAGAATTAAACACGATCTTTAAGTCAGTTAACCGAATAAATTAACTTACTCATGCATCGGTTAACTCAATTTTGGACCATTTAATCAGAAATATAAATGATATATTTATAATTAAAATGTGAAACATTAAAGTTATATATTTTTTGTTATAATATAGGTCTATTACACAAGTAATTTGAACTTTGCAATTGAGTTACGCCATAGACTTAGGTCAGTTTTGTCACCTTTGTAACTGAATATCAAACACTTACCTTTTCGTGAGATGCATAAATTGAATAAGTTTCAAGACTTGACCGACATTTCTTTAATAATAATAATATAATAATAATAATAAGGGAGCATAACTTAATGTTATTAGAAAAATTATTCTATTGATTTAAATTAGGTTTTATCAGTTAAAAATGATTTAAATTATAGACTTTTAAATTTATATTTTATAATAATTATTATAAGAAATTAAGGAAAGAGATAAGGAACTTATATACTTCCTACACTTTTTAAGCGGAAGGGTGTTGTCTTCACTCCACCCTTTACCCATCACGCAACTTGTTAAAAGGGTGAAGAAGTTCAACGACTTCATAGATTAAAACATTAAAACAAAATAAAAAAAAACTTGAAATTTAAATAATATTTTGTTGAATCTTCTAACCAAATTTACGAAAAATAGCTTATTTTAATTGTATAGAAATTTAGAACATAACACATAAAATATATAACAAGAGAGGGGTAGAAGGGAAAGGGTGAGAAGAGTGTGTAAAGAAGGGAAGACAGACGTAGCAATTTGAAAAAGTGCATTTAATAAGGACTCATCACAGGGGCCATTTAATAAAGGCCCTTACTTAATTAATGGTTAATTATCTGTATTGAATCACAGTTTATAGTAGGCCTTCCTTGGTTTAGGCTCTTAATTACTTATTTGTGAATTACTGTACTAGTTTTTCTAATATATATCTCATTACTTATTATAAATGATTTACTTTATTAGAGGGCAAAGTTTTATTTTTTGGTGTATTATTAATGTTTGTTCTTTATAAATATTATAATTCTTGCTAATTTTATATGAATTATGTATCATCAATCATAAATATGCATAAACAGTAAAGCAAATTTATATCGAAATATTTTTGAAATTCATNAAATCAATGCCATTTATGTTTATATTCACTGAAATACCTTGAATGCAATGCGAGACCTCGCATTGCATTCAAAGCATTTCAGCCGTATTAGTGTGTGCAGTGACTTCGGAATTGAACATACGAATATGGCTGACGATGCATTAAAGGTATTATAATATCACTAGTAAAGTATTTTTTTAAACTTAATATAAAATAAAATAAAAAATTGGCGAATTTAGAAAGGATATCATCAAGTTTCCTGATTATTTTTCAAGTTTAGTAATTAAATATTTTACAATAACTAAGAAGAATATGTCATATACTCTGCAAGTTTATATAATGCAATGAAACAAATTTAATATATAGTTTATGTACATTCGATAAAATTATATTTCAAAATAATTTAGTTACAAATAAAAACCCTAAACTAATTTATTAATTAGTAAAAAATTCAACATGCTTTTAGTGCA